TTCCCTGGAGGCAGCTGGCCTTGGCAGGGGCAGAGGAGGATGCTGGAGCGCTGTGCCACAGCTGGGAAATGAAACCAGGCGCTGCGGGTGGAGGGCGAGTCCGTCGCTGCATCTGAGACACTTCTGCTTCTGTTCTTTGCAACGCGGTGGCTGCCGTCTAAATGCTGACTGGTGGCTTTCCAAAAGCCACAACAAGTAAACGGAAGGTGGGAAATTACAACCTGTGGAGGAATTCAGTGAAAAGTCTTGAGTTTTTCACCAAAGACCGCCTCAGAGGCTCAGGAGACTCCGCCGAGTGCTGCTTGTTTGGAGCAGCATCTTCCGTGGAAAGCCATGGCTTGGTGGTTTAAACAAGATTAAGGAACGCACATGTAAACACAGTTGTGTGTTTGCAGCGTGGGGACAGTGCGCAGCCTAGCAGAGGAGGGATTTTCCCAGCCAACACATCTGCAAGAAAGAAAATTTCGCTTTCTGTGGGAAAACAGAGAAGAGAGAGATGCGTTTAGTAGTGGCTGAAGACTGAGGGCTGCAGAGGGTGAACCTCCTGCTGACACAACACAGCTGCCACATCCCTCTGGACGGGCACAAAACGGCCAGCACATGGGCAAACCTGGGGCAGAGGGGACCGAGGGAGCGGGGCAGAAGCTGGGCAACACAGGGCCAGGTGGGCTGAGAGATGAAGACCCCAGCATGAGATGTTTTCTCTTGCTAGGGATAAGCCAGGATTGCAGCAAGAGCTCTCAAGCATAACATACTGTGACAAAATCTTCCAGCTCCCTTTCCACCCCAGATGTAGAAAGGTTTTGCATGCATACGGGTTTAATTTATTCTCCTAAATTCATAAGGAGCTCCAAAACCTTCTCTTCTTTCCCTTCCCCTGCCCTCGCTGGGAGGACACACCAGCCAACACCTTTCCTAGAACATGAGGGAGAGGTGAGGAGTGCCACAGAAAACGTCACTAAGCCTCCTGTTGATGCCTAGCAGGTTGTAGGGAGGGATGGGTAACAAGGAAGGTACTTTCCAGAGACTTCTGGCAGCAGGACAAGTCTTCTGTTTGCTTGTCCTCCCAGTTTTCTCTTTTATCTCCAGGTTTTACTGCTACTGTGCACGAAGAGAAGATGGGTGCTCCTGAGGGCAGAGAGGATGGGTCCCCCCTCCCTTTCTAAAGGGTGCTCTGGGAGCAGGGCAAGGGTGCTTCTGGCTGGTGGCTGAGCCTACAGTGCCGCGAGCCACATCATCCACTGTGTGTAAAAGCCAAGCCCAGCATGGGCATGAGGTCCCTGTGTCATGAGGTACCCGTGTCAGAAAGCTACTGGACTCTGTTTCATTCCTCTCACCTGCATTAGGAACAGTACCCAGCCCCCCTGCTCCAGTCCCAGGGATCAGAGCCAAGAAGACAGACCACAGAGGAGCAGGGAGAGGCTCCAGGGCATTAGGCAAGGAGCAAAGCCATCAGGTGCATGGGACAAGAGGGGACATCCCATCTTGTTCCCTGCTGTGGGGTTTTTGGGGTTTGGTTGCAGGGCTTTGTTGCTGCTCCTGCCCTCCAGTAAATGCTACTTTACCCTGTTCTCTCTGAGCATGACTGACTCCTGGAGTCAACCTTTAGGGGAATAGAGATCAGCTTTCAGGCACCCCAAAACTCCTGCATTCCCTCTCCTATGGGCAAAGTTCACCCCACAACTTCCTAGTCTCAGAAAACCCCTGTGAAATGGTTTGGGGTGATAACCCCAAATCCCACCAGCAAAACATGGATGACAAAGCTCAGACCCCAGGGTTGTTGGAAACCCACCTCCCTGCTTTGCTCAACTAATAGATATATATATTTTTAGAGGTCTGACTGAATATTCAGGCACTGAATGTCAGAGTAAAACTCAAAAGAGTGGAGAAACAAAACTGAAAATGCTTGGCAGTGAGTTTGTTCTTTGCTGGGCAGGAAAGGTAGAAGGCCAGAGGGAAGCCCCAGCATTTCAGAGAATGTGAGTGGGATTTAGCCAAGTAGCACCCATCCTGAGTAATTAGAGCCAGATCTGCTCACAGGAGGAGTTGGGGGATACTCAGCCACATTTCTGTATTTGCTGATGGTGCGAGCTCCTAGGACTCTGGGTGTCTAAAAGCAGACTGTGGTCATTGGTGGTGGGATCACTCAGCTCCTAATATCCCTCGTGGCACATCCTTCTCTATGCACTCTCTCTTGTGCCCCCACAAGCAATCTCCCACTTATCGGGGCAGATCAGCCCAAGGGGGACCTGAAAAGAGGGTATAGAGCCTGGGCAGTAGATTCCCCCCGGCCCTCAAGAAAGCTGTATCTAAACCAGCTTATTGGGTGCTCTGGGGGTGGCCTTTGTGCAATGATCTGAGCAGGTCCCCAGGGACCCAGCACAGCCCGGAGGATGGGAGCTCCTCCTGTGTCCCCAGATGCTCGGCTGGGTGAGGCCACCAGGGACCATCCAGATGCAGGAGAAGGCTCCTGGGATGTAGCTGCAGGAGGTGCAGTTCTGCTCGGAGCCCCACAGCCTGGCCAAGAGTGCTGGCATCCTCCCACAGGACAAACCTTAGCAGAAAGTGTCTGGACAAGCAGTACCGGAGATGACATGCTGGGAATGAATGAAAAACCAGGAGGGGCTTGGGGAGGAGAGATGCCAGGCCTGGATCCTCTCCATCACCCACACATGTTACTGGTTAGGCAAGAGTTTAGAGCACAGCGGGAAGAGAGCAGTGGGGCTTTTCCCTGCCTGGCTTCCCACCCTGCCCATCCATCCACATCCTATCTCCTCCAAATAGTCCAGGCAGGTCCTTGAGCCCCTACCAGCAACGTCCAGTGGTGGTGCCAAGGGAGCTGTGCCCATGGAGAGCAGCTCCTTGCCTTGGCACCAAGCAGAGGAGACCACCAGCACAGGGGACAACTGGTCCTTGCACTTGGGCACTAAGGTCATGCCTGATGTGTCTTACATCCACTTGGAAAGTATCAGAGAAAGCTGCCACCAAGCCTGGGAGGAATGGGAGAGATCTCAGGATGCCAGCTGTGAGACCTGGGGCCAGAGAACAACTCATGTTCAATTTTCTGGCATAGGTACAGCCTTGCCTTGTGCACAGCCACCAGAAGAAGGGCTCTTTTGCCAGATACCTAGGAAAGCTTTTCAGTTGCAATGACATGAGAAATACAGATCCTAGGCATTGATAAAGGACCATGGCTGATTCAATTGATGCTCCAGAATACCTCACACCAAAACCTGGTCCTGCTGAGGCTATGTCTGCATTGTTGTGCTTTGGGTCCTGATCTTCCACGCTGACACTTGAGGATGCAGCAAGGGTAGGCAGAGAGCAGGAAAAACACAGTTGGAGAGAGAGAGACAAACAAGAGGGCTTGGAGCACTTTTACTGAAACTGGCTCTCGGCTGGGACCCAAGGTTTTGACACGTCCATGATTTGCTGCTTTCTCCAAGGATAGTGGCCACTTCCCTCCAGAAAGGTCATTGACTTTTATATCAGAAAAACTCTCTGTGCTGTTTACTAAGATCTGAGCCCTGCTGGTTTGGACAGATTCCCACGAGACGGACTGTGGAGCAGGGAGAGCTGCTTTGGGGCTGCAGCCAGGCTGGCTCCTCCTTGCCAGGACCACGCACACACAGTGCCCGGCATCTCCTGCCCTTCCCTTGAGGGTGGAAGGGGTGGGAGCCCAGGCACCATGCTCCTTGGCAAGATAGCCCTTAGCTAAGGAAAGACCTGATCCATCTGAGGCCAAGTCCCTCTTGCAGCCCCTGCCCACCAGTCACAGCAGCTCAGCCTGGGCACAGATCCGCGCCAAGCATCCTCCTCCTCCTTGGTGCGGCCCCTCGCAGGTCACCAAACGAGCAGCAGCGAAGCTCTGCCAAAGCAAGCACTGGTTAAGCTCTCTTCCCACTCACATTGTTTGTCTTGGCCTCTCTTCCCATACCAGCCTTCGTCCTCTTCCTCCCCCTCCCCGGGATTATATTGCTGGAGCTGTCACTGTGCTTAATGAGCTGGGGCAGACAGAGCCGGTGCGAGGGCTCTGGGAAAATCACAGCAAGAGGCAGCTGAGCCCAGGGCATGGCAAGTGCACACAGAGCAGGAGGAGGACCCTGGGGGGAACACCTGAAGCCACCAACCAAGGGAGAAGCAGACCAGCAGAGGGAAAGGGCTGGAGCTCATCTTGCTTTCAACAGGTTTCAGCAACAGCCACCAAGTGCCTGGGCGTCCCCAGCCACTGCACCACCACGGATGCTGTTCCTTTCCTTGGGAAGGGTCTCCGGGCCATCCCACTCCCAGCCTGTGCCCAGTGCAAATGATTTAACCCTGTGTACAGGTGCATGCCAGAGCATAGTGCCTTGCTGCTGGCTGTGCCTGGCTGCTGGCTGCACTAAGCCTTGCTTCTGCACGTTTCTCCCATGCTTCGGCAGAGGGGAGCAGGTTTATTCAAACATTGTGTCGCCAGGGTGAAGGGGCAGTTTCCATGAGGCCATTTTGGGGCAGCAAGCGTTAGGGCAGACTGGCTCAGTTTTAGGGACCTGATCATCCACAGCGCTGGTGCACAGAGCTGGGAACAAAGCGTCCAGGGACTCACAGCTCATGGGTGACAACGGGCAGGAGCTGATGTGCCACCCCTGTGTTTTACCCAAGGATGCATTTAGGAGCAGGGACACTGGGATTTTCACATGCCTGCATTTCCCTCAGAGCTCTTTCTCCTGTCCTGCCGCCCAGCTGTGCTTTGGCACTGAGCTGCTAGGGCAGCCCAAGCCTTTCTGTGCCTCAGTTTCCCTTCTCTGCGAGAACAAAGCTCCCATTCCCAGCAGAGGTGCTGGTGGAACCGAAGTGGCCTGGTCTGGATGCTGCAATACTTGCACGCTCCCTTGCACCCTTCATCTCCCTAAAGCCCTTCTCCTACCCCTGCACCCAGCACAGCCCCTTGCCTTGTGCTACAGCACCCCCACCCTCCACACTGAGCTTCAGGATCAAAAACGAGGCAAACCATCAACTCATAGGCTTTTCTTTTTATTTAACAAATCCAGAGAAAAAAAAAATAAAAAATATAAAAAAAAAAAGAAAGGAAAGAAGCAGCTAACACCCGTAATTTTTGCACTGAGCAGATCTAGCAGCAAATACCTGAGCACAGCACAAGCGCTGCTCTTGCATCCCTGCCCGGGCAGCAGCACCAGGCAGGCTTTGACCACGGTGGCAGGCTTGGGGACTGAGAAGGAGGACGATGTCCCTGACAAGGGCAGGGACCCTCCACCATTCCCATCCTGTGAGTAAGGCCCTGGCCAAGTGGACACCAGAGTTATGCCACAGCAGCCAGTGGTGCCAGGCTGGGACAAACCATGGATGCTGGCACTGGCTCCATTTCCACCTGGGCAGGGAAGGGCAGGAGGGGGAAAGCTGGAGGACCTCACGCGACCGACCTAGTGGTGACAAACATCCCTACCCCTTCCCCTCCATCCCTGCACAGTCCCATCCCCGCTGCCCTTCCCAGGGATGCAGAAGGCGCTCAGGTTCAAGGCTGATGATGGAAACCCGAGGGAACAGACTGGCGCTCAGAGGAAGGCTGGGATCCCCAAAACTCATCTCACAGATCAGTCCATCAAACCAGCCTCCTGGCTGCAAGGGTGCTGGAGATGCCGAGCACCCTTGGAGCGGAGACTCTGGTCCAGCAGCCCCCGGCTCAGCCTGACGCAGGTTTTTGAGTCACACTGGTGGCAGAGGGGAGAAGAGAGAGCTGCAGGGCTGTGACAAGCCCCATGCACTGACATGAGTCCCGAGGAGGGTTGGCCCCGTGCACTGTAGTAGGAGGTGGAAGCAAGTCGGCTTCATGAGCTTCAGATTCACAGCTGAGAGCTGGCCCCGATATGGGTGCTGGGGCCAGCCACAGGCTTCTTCAGAGCCTAATTGCCTTTATTTGGGACCTGGGGAAATGAAAAACACAGCTGGAATGAGCATGGTCCTGGGGTAGGAGATCTCTGGGGCCCCTTCCCTGATGTCAAGGTGGTCACCAGGACCGTCTGAGCAGAGCCACATGTGGATGTTGCCAACTCTGAGCTCACAGGGCAGAAGCAGGGGGTCAGTGCTTTGCTCCCAGCACCCTTTTCTGTGGCATCCATCGGTCCCATTCGGGCTGGGAACATCCCTTTTGGTGGCAGGTTCGAGCCATCCCCAGGCCACCCCCACTCCCCAGAACCCACACCGAGCACGGGCCAGCTCCTACCTTCCTGGCAGAGCCAGAGTCCAGCTTCTCCCGGAGGCGAACAGCCCATGGGGCTTCGAGCGGGGCGCAGAGGCGCTTGCCCCTCACGGTGATGAACCTGTAGGGCCCACAGGGGGAAAGACAAGAGCTGCTGAGCAGGATGTCCTGGGGATGCTTCAGCACAGCCCCAGCTCTCACACTGCCTCCCTCACCCTCCTCCTCCACCTGCTCCTTGCGATGACTTTCAGCCCCGTTTTCCCCAGATTTTCACCTCCCAGCGTGTCTGTCCTGCTCTGTCTGAGCCTCCGATCCCCTCCACCTTCCCTCCCCTTCCGCCTCTCCCCCTATTTCCCAAATGCAGCTTGCCATCCCTGCTCTGCCTCCCTCCTTGCCCTGCTGCGTGCTCCATCCCTTGCCCATCACCATGGTCCTTACACGTTGGCAGGGATTTCACAGCCGTCCTGCACCAGCTGTATCTGATATCTCTGCACGATCCGCCGCGGGATGGGATTCTCGCTCGTCCTCAGGCAGCAGTCCAGGACGTTGTTGCCGCCGTGCACTGGAGGAGGAAAGGGACACGTGGCTTGAGGTCACTCCCGGGCTCCACGGGATGGTGCCCGCGCTGGCAGCGTGCCGAGCCGTGCCCTGGCACGCAGTCCTGCCCGAACAGGCAGGCACACGCTTGGCTGGCCCCGCTCCCAGGTGCTGGCAGCCCTTTGCCTCCTTCACATCTCAGCAAAGAGGAGAAGAGCAGCAGGATGGGGAGTGGGCAGCCATTCTGCACACCTGGGTTCCCTCCCGCATCCCTGGGGTGAGCGCTGGCCAGGGGACACCTGCTGGCTTCATTGTGCTGCCATCCAGACACTGGAGACACCATTCCCAAGGGTCTGGGCATGACTTTGGCTGTATTTGCTGAAACAATCATTGTTTTGGCAGCTACACATGCCCCAGCCCATCCCACACTGAGCTGCACCTTGCTGCCACCCTGCAAGCAGATGCACCAAAGTGGTGCCTTCCCCTCCGGTGCCAGGGATACTCCCCTGGTGTGGTGAGGGCTGCTCGGGCAGGGGAAGATGGAAGTGGAAAAAAAGCTGATCCCAGCCTGGTGTGCACAGGCTGGGCTAGGGCACTGGGAGGCAGGAGTGCTCCACAGCCTGTCCCCAGCACAGATTTCCAGCCCCTGCGGGTTCCTTCCTGGACTTTGGTCAGGACAGAGTCCCTCTGGGATGGGTTACAAGCAGAGGACTCAGGAGGGCTGCTATTGAGCCCCAGCGATAGGTCCCTCTAAAAGTTTGCTGGAAATGCAAAAGCAGGCAAGAAAACAGATCCTAGCCCTTCCACAAGCAAGGCACCCTGAGAGATTCCCTCTTACCGTGCAGGATACATCCCAGCACCAGGAGACCGAGGCAGAGAAGATGCAGCTGCTGCATTGTGTCGCTGAGTCTGGCAGAGGATGGGCTGGAGGCAGCGGGGCTCTGGGCAGGAGAGGTGAGCTCTGCACTGCTTCCCTGAGCTCTGGTGCTGGGACTCCTCGCTGCCTATTTATCCTTCTGGCCCGTGGCTTTCACTTTCTTTTGGAGAAGAGGGGTGGGAAGTCATAACAAGCCTTGCCACAGGCAGGATTTTGATCTTTGAGCAGTTCCCGAATATACTGTCAGCTTTCCCTGAAGCCAGCTGCTCTGCATCCCCGGAGCCAAACACCCTTCTGTCCTCCCCACTGCTGGCTCCCAGGGCATGGGGGCTGCCAGTCAGGACCCTCACCCTGCAAAAACACCCTGCAGCCCTGGGAAAGCACTTGTGGGGTTTCATCCTCTGCATTTACCAGTTCATCCTCCACAGCCTCTCTGGGACATCCAGAGATACCGCATAGTCTCAAGCTGGTGATGCTGAGGGGGACAACTTGCCTCCACTCCATTCTTGGGGTGTATGTCAGTAATAGGGTGATGCCTGACTCCCCCTAAGCCCCCCAACCTGGTTGCAGGAGTCTGGCTTCTCCTTTTCCCCTCTCCACTGCCAGAATACCAGGCACATCCAAAACCTTGGTGCCCCTGTGCAGTGCTGGCAGATGGAGGGCAGCCAAGCCAGTGTGCTCTGCCCTGAGGCTGAGCTGAGATGCTGAAGGACAGCACGGCTTCCAGGCAACCCAGCAAACAGGTTTATGGCCAAAAACAGCAATCGAGCTTTCTGGGAACATGTTTTATATTGGTACACGAGCAGAAATCCCCCAGGGAGATTGTGTGTGCTGCTCGAGGTGCCAGCAGCTCACTGGAAGGATGCGTGGGCAAAGATCGCGCTCGTGCTGCAAACCTGCACAGCAGAGCAGGGACAGGGGCTGTTCCTCCTCGAGGCCACCACCGGGCCAGTGCCACCACCGTGTGGTTGTCCCTCAGCCAGCCTGCTCCAGCCCTGGCATGTGGCAAGGCGGATGCCACAACTCCTGCCGTGCCACCAGCCAAGGTTTCTCATGCCTGCACCTCGGGCTGATGTCCTCCATCAGGAGAGCGCTGCCTCGGGCTGTGCCCACACCCAGCACCGTGCCGGAGGGGACAGGCAGGCAGGAAGAGCAGTGCAAACAGGATGTGCCAGCTTAGCTGCGGTCCTGCCTGCTTTCAGCACTCACAAACCCTCTTTATCGCGGAGAAATCTTGGCTGGCGGAAGAAAGATTCGGGTGGCATGAGGCTGCAGGCTGGTGCCAGGACAAAGTCTCTACTTGATCCCCAAAGAGACCCCACAGCAGGGAGAACGATGGCCCCTGGACAGGATGCTGACAGCCAGGCCTGCAGGAGAAGCGAGGGGTGTTGGGGGTCTCCTCCTGTGGGGAGGCACTGCGGGGGGCCCGTGGTGAAGGGCTGGCCATGGACAGAGAGGAAGATGTGAGAGCCGGGAGCACATATGGGTTAAGTCCTGCAGTGTCCCCGGCAGCCCCCAGGCCTTGAGGGACACAGAGGCTCTGCCTCTCCCCAAGAGCTGTGCGGGTGCCAAGGGGGTGAAAGCATGGCTGGGTTTGAGTCACCCCCGCTCCCCAGGAGGTGCATGGGACAGTGAGGAAAGGGGCTTTCCGCATTGTGAAAGGGGGACATGACCTCCATTGGGGTCAGTGGGATTTCTAAGAAGAGCGTGGTCATCTACCAAACGCGTCCCTGTGACAGGCAGGGTGGTCACCCCATTCCCCTGAGGTGCAACTTGGGAAGAGGGGAGGGCACGGCGTGTGCTGGGCCACCCAGGCCTCCTCCAGCACCAGGCACCGCAGGCAGCGCGAGCATCCCCCAGTGCTCACCCCTGCAGAAGGCTGGGTAAAGCAGTTGTTAATTTAAGTACAGACTGTGCAGGAGGGGAAGGGGGCTCCTCGTGGGAAATCCAACCCACCGACATGCCAACAGGCCGTGTGAGCATCGCCTGCATCCCTGGGCTCTGCTCAGGCAGCACTGACCCCGCTGCAGCCCTCCCCGAGCCCCCCTGGGCTCTCCCTGCGGTGCCTTGTGGTGCTCCGTTTCCCACCTCCAAGACGTGGAGCTGGGAAGGGCAAAGGGGGAATTCCAGCGTGTTCCAGGCACAGACAGTCCCTGGGGCAGGATCTGGCCTGGCTGCATTTACCACATTGGGAAATACTGGGCCAGAATCACAGCTGTTTCAATTTCTCTGTCTCTGCTACGGCGGCCCAGCATGGGAGAGGCCCCCACGCTACTTCCATCCCATTCCAGTCCTGCAGTGGCACAGGGACTGCAGCCACAGCCAGCACACAGGGCCCTGCTGGATCTCCTCCAGCCGAGGGAACCTTGCCAAGGTGATTAAGCGGAATTAAGGAAAAAACAATGAACAAGCCATGCCTTTGGCTAGAAGACAGCAAAGATAGGCCTGAGGGCTTGGTTAAGAGGGATGCCCAAGGTGCCACTCCTGCACTGCTGGAGCCTGTCTGTCCCTAACACATCATGGATGCTGAGGTCAAGTGCATGAGGTGCATCGCTGATGCAGAGGAGGCCCCCTCAGCTGGGTGCTGCTCAACCTCCACAGGGCAGCACCCATCTCTCAGGGGAAAAAAGGTTTGGGAGGAGGCTTCGGGACCTGCAGGACCTGGATGGACCAGGGAGTGTGGGAGTCCCCATCACTCACCAGCTGCTCCTCCACCTCTGTGCTGCTCTCAAGACCCTGGCAGAGCCCAGGAGAGCAGCTTGGCTGGAGATGCTGGCTCTCCATGCCTGCATGTCCCATTTAATAACTCAAACCCATAGCCCTCTCCCATCCCTATCTAAGAGGGGCACAAGGTCCAGACGCAATCACTGTCCCTCATGTTGCATATTCTGATGATGATGTTTTGGGATACCACAGCCCCTTTAGCACACTGCTCCCATTTCTTGGGTGTGGAGGGACAAATCCTGTGCCCATGTCCCCAGCTGAGCATCGCTGGAGCTCAGCCCAGCATCCCAGCCCAGCACGCTGCTGCGCTGCCAGGGCGAGCGCGGAGCTCCGTCTGCACCGGGTAAGTGCTGAGCTCATTATCTGGCCCGGGTTCAGGACTTCCCTTCTTTTGGCTGCGGCGTGTGGTTTCTCTCTTGCTTGGCTACTTTCTGCCTGTCACCTAATCCTTTCTGCTCTGGGGTGGCCGCGTTCCCTGAAAGCCCACCCAGGCCATCATTCCTTTTTCATGGAGCACCCTCGGAGACACTCCCCGGTGCCATCACACCTCACCATGCATCACAGCAGTGCCTCCACCACCCTCCTCACCCATCACAGGGCCCCACAACACCTCTTGCACCTTATTTTCCCTAAAAGCAGAGCTCTGCAGTGAGGCTGGTGTGCTGATGCCCATGTGCGTGCAGGCAGGTGGCACATGGGGGCTGCGTTTGTGCATCTGTGTCTGTGTTCACGTGTGCCTTGATGCTTGGGCATCCGTGCCCAAGCACGGCTCCCCTACAAGCACTACTTTTAGGGTAAATTGCTACAGAGCATACGCAAGGCCAGAGCTTTTAACCCATCTTAGCCCAAAAGCCATCTCACACTTGAGGGAAGAAAAGCCCCTGCAGTGCTTATATTTGCAGCCTCAGAGAAAACAGGCAGCGCTTCACGTGCTGGCTCGCTCCAGCTGTTTCCTCACGCTTTGCCCTTTGTGGTTGCAGACCTATTTGGCTGAGCCTCCTTTCCAGGGGTTTTTCCCACAATTTCACAATCCCTTGACGCCATCAGCACAACAGCCACCCCTGCAGAAGCCCGGGCCAGTCCCGCAGCTCCCAGGCCAGAGTAGAGCCTTACCAGTAACTCCTTTACTAGCACTGCTCAGACCAAAAGCAAAGACCAGTGGGGCGATCTGTGGGGCAGGAGAGCAGCCCCTCCACCGAGGACCCCCCCACCCGACCCCTGCAGCTCTTCCCAAAGGACATCAAGAGAGGCAGAAGGACTAGGTTTGAGTTTAAAGGATATATTTTATTGCTTTATATCCTGCCTGAAGCCCGGACAGCCGCGCACCGTCGCGACACAGAGACAGCTTGGTGCCCGGGGCCGATGTCGAGTTCTTCACAGTTTCTTTACACAGTCTTAAAAAGAATACACCTTGATGCCTGCCCGATAAAGCAATCAAGCCAGATAATCGTGCTTAATAGAAGCACTAAGCCACAAGCTATCCCCAGCCAGAACGCTGCCTTTGCTGATATTGCTAAGCCCCACAAATCCAATTATTGCAATTATACAGCTTAATAGAGCTTTACTGACCAAAGTCCGTGTCTGAGATCTCTGCAAGCAAATAACACTGCAGCAGTGGCAGAGCCCTTCCATCGCTCCTTGGCACACCAGCGGGGTCTGCAAGCACAGGGAGCTGATGTTTCCCTGGGACCTTTCCGTGCCCCCCCTTTCAGCCTCACCTGCCAGCGCACGCAGGGCAGAGATTTCTCATTTTACTAAGGATTTGAGATAGAGCTGCTCACAAGCAACTGCAGCGTGTCTGTAATGAATCTTGCAAACTCTTCTATTCCCCCACCTGCGTGCAATTTTCACCATGCAAGCTTTTCATCTGGGAGAATAAAGTGTAAGAGAGTTTCTTCCTGAAAGCAAAGCGCCTGGCTTACTAATCTCTGAATCTCTGAATACAGCAAAACCAAGTGCGGATAAAAGGGTAAAATTGCACTGAAATGAAAAGCTTGCTCTGATTTCATTGCAATTTATACCAAAAAAAAAAAAAAAAAAAGAAAAAGAAAGGATTTAATAAAATCAAAACATGTTTTGAAAAAGCCTGTCTTCCTGCAAACTACACTTCAACAGCTGTAAAAGTGGGGCCGTGGCACCGTGCAGCCCCCCTCTGCTGCTCAGCCCCACGAGTGGCCGTGGAGGCAGCTCCCAGCCAGCAGCCCGTGAGCAGTGGGACGTGGGACCCGCCTGGCGCCCCGCAGCCCTGCAAGCTGGAAAGGAGCAAAAGGGGCCGGAAGGGAGTGAACGGTAGCCACCGCTTATTCGGTAAGAAAAATAAAAGCGACCTTCCAGACAAGCCAGCCTGCAGCATAAAGGGTGCT